TCTTGAGAAGGAATACAAATTCATTTTTTACATGGAACAATAGAAGCTTAACAGATATTTGCAATTTCATGAACTTCATGTTGCTATTAGTCATTCACGGGCGACAAAAAAAAGTGAATGTAAGTCAAGAAAAAACACTAATAGATTCATTTTTTCAATTATCAGACATTTGACTGATAATGGCTATCAATTAAATATTGTGGACTTTTCATACTATTGGATTTACCTCAAATCTCAACTTTTCGACATCTGATTATTGATATCATTGCTCTAAACTTCACTTTTAGACAAACTTCCTAGTCCTTCTATTTGTATTTCTACTAACACATCGTTTGCATGCCCTTATCACATATATTTAACAGCTGAGATCTATTGTGCAACAATACAATTTCTTTCTAATATAACGTCAAAATGCACGATCATATTATGTTCAGAATAAAGGATCTTATTGTATGGAGTGATAAATTTGTTTTTCTAATAGTTGTAATTTTAAAGAGCGTTTTTATGTATTCCAGGCGACAGCACGCGCGGCGACGCGAACCCTTGTGATGGTGGTTTTGTGCTACCTAATTAGTAACATTATCAGCGTAGTACTAACAATATGGGAACATTTGGATAGAGATATGCTTATGGAATATGTCAAGTCAGTCGTATTTTTCGTAGTCGCATCAATGAAACATTAATTCTGTGCAAAATCTTTGAAAACATATAAATTTATTTTAGCTTCTACGCGATTGCAATAGATCTTGTTTCGCTACTCACAACTTCTGCTTGCGCCTGTCGTCTGCCCATATATCTTACCTGCCAAACTTCTTTGAGACAAGAAATTAAAGAGGTTCTCACTTCGATGTGCTGTTGCAGAAATGGAACGGTAAGATAAATTTTAAATTTTTGAAATTTCCAAATAAAAGAACAATTTTTGAATAAATTTAATATTTTTGATTTAATAAATTTTTCAAAAGGCCTGCTTAGGAAGATTTTCTAGACAGCAATTCTAGCAAAAATTTGTATAAATTTCTTATTTCTCATGCAATAATGTATTATGGAGTTCTAGCATTTATTGGAAAGTTCTTTTTAACATTACATAGGATCATTTCTTGGAAATTTATATGATCCAAATCTATGTTCTAAAACGTGAAATTATCAAATTACATTTTCAAAATCATAATGATATTCAAATTAGAATTGTTGAGTGTTTATTCATGAAATAAGTAGATTCTGGTAATACATCTTTCACTGGATAAAAGCAGACATGTGACAAGTGATTAAATGCAAAATGTACTTGAGTTTCGCTTACTGCAGAATGTGCAACGTATGCACCTTTGGAATGTGTGCATAAGATGCAATTGCAATAAGTAGACAAAATTTGCTTTCATTTAGTTCTGCTTTTTGGCTGTTCACCTTCCTTCTTACTTTACCAGCATTAAAAATCTTCAATTTTTTTCCTTTAGGTCGAAGACAGCGAATACTTAGTTCTTTCGAAATCCACGATGAATGTCTCAATGACGTCACAGGGCCGAGATGCCACCGAT